ATCGATATATTTATCGATATATCGATATTTTTTTCCAGGCCTGATATAATACTTCACCGGTTATATCAACGATTTGCCTTCAAATTACTAACATATCATATGAGATAATATCAGTCAGATATATTCTTATTTATTATATTTTATTCATGATGATATTCAAAATGACTCTACCTCATAGGATATTCAACAACAATCTAATTTTATAATTTCATTTCTTCCGGTATATAATTTATATGACTTTTGTCACTGTCCTATCAATATTTATGTCTACATCATTTATATTTTTTTAAACTCATTATTATTCCAATTTATACCTTTCAACTCGCATTGCAAGTAAGTTCTTGTTCTTGTTGAATTGACTGGTAACAAAATGTTTCATGTACGATAAATTGTTTCAGCCTAGAAGAAGAAAATAAAAATTTTCGAAAGCTTGGCATAGCAATAAAGAAGTTTGCTTATAGTCCGATTGACTGAACTCCCCGATATTTTCTATTATATTATAATACACCCGATGAATTATTCAATATAAAGAAATACATTGAAAATTCGCATTCTCTATGTGATGAAAATATCAATTCTTTCTCGGTCTATTCAACAGAAAACATCTACTTTCCTGGCTATATGTCACGACGAATATTGAATTACATCTATTGAACACACACGATAAGAATTTGAAAACAAAATCTTCTGAAGTAGAGAATTTGCATTCTCCTTCATATAAAGATATGCATATAATATAATTCTGAATATTCAACAGAAAACAACTACTTTCCTGGCTATTAATCCTCATCAGTAACCTGAAGTACATTAATTCTTTCAGCCATTCTTCATGATATACACAATTTTCATATCCCTATAATATACCTAACTAAAACTATAACGAACTGACATCTGAGAATATCAATTTATCATACATACAAAAACAGATGGAATTGTTGTTTTGGAAAATTGATCAATGGGTTCCAAATTAGAAGGGTGTTGCGGGTTAAAATCGCACACACTGTATTTCGAGGATGACAGAAAAATGACCTGCCTACTTGTGATACATACATAAACATAAAAGGTACATTTCAGCAGTATACAGGGTATATAATTTGGAATACAATAATCAACGAAGTAGGTATTTGTATTTTTTATCACCCCGTATCACTCTTCTAAAAACCACATTCGATAACATTGAATTTCTGAACCCCAAAATATCAGATCATTTCTAGTGGTCGTCCTTATGACATCACCTTTGGTAGTTTGGAATGGTATTACAAAGAGAGGATTTCGGGATCCTAGTTCTAGTTGTGTATAACTGGCTCAGCCAATGCTTTGTGTTCTCGAGAACCTATGACAGCAACTTTACTGTCAACATTTGGCGAACAATCATTCCCGATAGCCAGTTTTATGCAGAATAGGATGACGTTAATTTCTCTCTGTAATATACTTGTATGCTTTTGTTTGAATGCGACTGTATATTTCATTACGAGTCTGGAAATAGGGATTTTTCTGTGCGCTGGAGGTCATGCAAGCACGGAATAGTTATTTTCCTAACAAGTGCGCAAAGTGTTACTTTTCCGCATGCAAATACAGTTAGGCGAACGACGCGGAGCGGAGTTCGAATAAGTTTTTGCGTGCGGAAAAGACACTTTTCGCACGTGTTGGGAACAACGTTTTTTTTACCAGCTTCATATCAGATAAAAAGGAAAATAAAAAAAAATTATGGTGAAGTGACGGTGTTTCTAGCTTTTTGCTGACAGAAACTGAGTAAAAATCTGACATCATGTCAAAGTAGACAAGTGCACTTGATGTTGCTTAACAATATTATATATAATCATATATCATTATACAAGGTATTCTCCTTTGAAACCGTAAAATTATTTTTTTGTTTTGAGGTGAAATACAAATATCGGAAAGAACGGTTGAAAAGTGAAAGGGATAACGGCTTCTTATAGTTCATACAATAGTCTACAGCAACTAAAATGAATATAAATCTTCCATACAAGTGAGATTTTTGGGTAGTTTTACTTATCCGCATGCCGTGCGGATAATACCCATATCCGCACTGAGTGCGTAAAAGTATTACTATGCGCACGCAAATGAGTGCGGAAAAGTACTACTTTGCGCACGCTCGTAGGAAAAAATCATTTCTGGACGAGTAATGCACGATATTTTTTATTACACTTCGATGAAAATGAGAATATAATAATAAAATATCACATAAAAAAGACACAGAAGAAACTTAGAACATGTTTATTTTCACAGTTGTAGGAATGAAAAAACTTGGACCTACTAGACCTGGATTTTACTGGTAATAAATTCGCGGTCGCTTATTGTGCCGCTTGCTCTAGGATATTATCGGGAATTTCGGGATTTCGGGAGTTCATTTTGTCGGCATAAATTTGATTGACAGAGAATAAACAGTGCTGACAATACAGTGTTTGGCATGTATGATTCGTTTCCATGGTTATTCTCAAAGTTTTTCCGTGCGATAGCCCGAAAAAGCCTATCTTAGAATATTACTAATATAGATGAAAACAAGTTGATGTCAAAGAAGTGTAATAAAAAATAAATTGCAGTAATTTTCTAATCGGCTACCTCTTTATTGCTGTGACACCCATTATATGGTATCACCGCCAGCTTATGTAAGTCGTATGGGCACATGGATAATCGCTTAGCAATGCTCAGGGTGATGGAAAGTATTCGTGCATGATTCATGAATAATAATGTTATTTGGATTTGAAAGGATATTGAAAAAGTTCACCTTGAAACTAGAGTAATTATACATAGTTTTCATCACGAGGAAAAAATCTGTATTTCATTTCATTGTAATACTGGTTAATAAATGAAAAAATAACAATTTGATTCGACCACACAATCGTTTGCGCGGTCGGATAACACGTTTCATTGCTTTGTATGGCGTTGGTAAGTACCTAATTGGAATAATGATTGTATATTTAAATTATATTTAATAAGGGAACATAGTACAGGATTATCCATCAAAAAGAGCATTAGGTCCACCCTTATATTCACGTTATTTTTCACCAATAACATGGACACAACATGCTCTTAACGGAAATATTACATGGTGATCCATTAAAGCTCGACAAACCATATATACATTTCATTTCCATATACATATCGGAATCTATGATTTTTGTATGTTATCAAGTGAACACTCAATCAATGGGCTTATATCACAAAAACTTTTTATTTCATAATTCGATAGAACTCATCCAAACTAGCTCACCACCGCAAACCGTTTCTTGCTGTGAGCTCCCTACGTTTTATAAAAAATTATTGATATCCCCGATTTTTCGGACCTCTGAAAACGAGGCGATGATGTGACGTCAGAACCCTAATACTGAAACAAGACTTTTCCAGACAGAGATGAATGATACATGATTTCTGACAGAGTGAATTAGAGCGAGCTCACAGTTGAATGAATTAATATATCAGTTGCCTCAGTCTCCGTCGGCGTTTGGTATTTTCTTTCAACTATGACGAGATGAGGTTTCTACGTCATATGAGGGTCCGTTTTCAGAAGGTACTATTATTTATGTCCAGAAATAAAACATTCCAGTTAATTTTTCGATCAAATTATGTCGTCAATCATTATTTATGTATAAAAGGATCAGTATAAACATGGTTTGAGTTAAAAGTTCTACTAAGGTGTACACGCCCATTCGGGAATGTACTCGATAATGCTGTAGACCACCCTGTAGGTATATGTGTCTCATCAGGAGCAAATATCAATAATTCAGAGGTGATTATACGTATAAAAGGAGACAAAAATATTGTGACAGTATTTACTTCATACCGTCTCATTCATACCAATATAAATAATCTTCATTACCCTCAAGAATCAATATTACAGAGGATGATTCATATGTTTTTTTCAAATTCAGCATTTTCAAGTTACAGGGCTACCAATTTGGCTAAATTTTTGTTGGCCGGTTGTTATGCCGGTGAGTGTAGAAAGTACCTACTTGAAAAAAGTTCAAAAGTTGTGCTCTGAAATCTTACAAATTTGGATGAACAAACCTATTATGGAGACAATGAACATACCTTTTATGGAGACAATGAGAACGAACATACATATTTTTCCGCGCTGAATGTTTTTTGTCTTTATTTATTACGTGTTATTTTTCAAGGATATATACAGGGTGTTTCATAAAATATGCTCGTCCAAAAACTATGAAAAATGTGTTTTTTAACTTAACCTCTTAAACTTTAGAACAAGTAACAAAACCAAACGTTAACTTCATGTTGCAAAATTAAAAAAAAAATTTCGCGATTAGCTTCAATGCACGCAACAATTCTTCGAAAAATTGACGATGATTTTCAACATAAAAGTTGATTTTTCTCGAAAACGGTATACTTCAGAGCTTATGACCAAGAGTATCTTTCTTGTGTTGAAAACATTGGCCGTTCAAATAGACGACTCAAAATTGTACTTTTTTTAGTGGCGTAGAAGTTGGAGAAAAAACACTAACTAACTAACTAACAACACAATCTTCATCAATTATGACTTGAAAATAAATTAATTCCGCACAAAACATAGCTTATCATGAGTAGAAAATGCTTACGAAAGCTGCTTTCTTTGCAATAAACGGTTCCAGAGATTTCGCAAAAAACGATTTTTTAACTACTTGTATCTCAAAAATGGTGCATTTCAGAGGGTAGGTGAATGAAACTTTTTTTTTCATATTTTTGGGCGAACTATCACATCCTGAAGTTCAGCGCATATATTATTAACCACCTTGTACATGTACATGATCTCAGTTCAGTGAGAAACGGAATGAGAATCAAAAGCATAACTCTTATAGGTACTTTTTGTTCTATATGACGATGGCCGTGGTGCCGAAACTAATCTTCGTTTTGTCCCTTTGAAAATACGTTGAGAATAAGTTTCCATGAAATGTCATGCGTTGATAATGAATGAATTTGCCAATTCATTTGTTGCGCTATTGACTTGACTACTTTTATTTTCAGGCTCAATAACATTTCAGAAGATGCATGACAACTATGCTGTTTTCGTAGACAATGTCGTAAAAAATTATGGCAACAGGGAAGTTTTGAAGCAACTATGTATGAAGGTAGAAAGAGGAACCATGTAAGTATTTTTTTTCAATTTGAATACATTTTTATTCATACCACAGGAGTCGGCTTATCATGATGAGCCTCTATCACCTCTTGAAAGTAATGTACAAACATCTAAACCACCCTGTATACATCTACAAATGTGCAATTAAAAAATACAGGGTGTTTTTGGATGTATGACAAATTGATATTCATCATACAATTCGCGATAGAAAATAAGCATGCGTCACCTATCGGAATTTTCGAAAGCTGTCGGAATGGTTTGTTCGCTTTGTTTTCATTGGTTCACATTCGTTTTTTGCTTGTGATCATTGGTTAATCCGTCAAAACAAACCGCTTAGAAGTGTTCAAGTTGTTGCCGTCAGATGGGGTGACGTGTTATTTTCTATCGCGAATACTGAATATATTTTATTTGAGAGAGAATGTCAATTCTCAATTTCAGGGGATTTTAATTTTGCATGCTCTCCTTTTGGATGTTCAACAGATATAATTCAATGTACGACGTGGCAAATAGCCAGGAAAATAGTTGTTGTCTGTTGAATATTCAGAATATGATGTACATATACATATTTTTATCTGAAGGAGAATGCAAATTCTCAACTTCAGAAGATTTTGTTTTCAAATTCTTATTGTGTGTGTTCAATAGATATAATTCAATGTTCGTCGTGGCATATAACTAGGAAAGTAGTTGTTTTCTGTTGAATAAACCGAGAAAAAATTGATATTTTCATCACATAGAGAATGGGAATTCTCAATGTATTTCTTTATACAGAGAACTGCACAATAAACGGCCAGTTCTGTAACTTCTGAATCATTTGAGATCGGATTTTGAAAATTGGTGGGTAGCTCGTATACCAAATTGCTCATCAACTGACGACCAATTCTTGTTCTATCACTTCCGGTTTCACCGGAAACGACCCTAACTTTCGATTTTTATATAGGACACCCTGTATTTTATTCCATAATCGGTTAGGAATTATCATAACGAATTCAACGATACCGGATTTGATAGGGTTATTTCGAACTATTATGAAGATATTCGAGTTCTAAGTTTCCATAAGCTCAATAGGTGTGACTTCAGAATGTCGAAACTTTTTTCTCTGTCCCACTTATTGAACAAATGGAAACTTAGAACGAGAATATCTTCGTAGTCCTTTGAATCAACCCTATCAAACCTGGTATCGTTGAATTCGTGATAATAATCCCTAACCGATTATGGAATAAAATACGGGGTGTCCCATTGAAAAATCAAAAGTTAGGGTCGTTTCTGGTAAGACCGGAAGTGATTGAAGAAAAATTGGTTTGTCAATGAATGAGCAATTTGGTATACTTGCTACCCACCAATTTTCGAAATCCGATCTAGAATGATTCAGAAGATACAGTACTGGCCGTTTTATCCAAGAATATTTCTTATTAAAATACAGGGTGTTTAAAACAGACATCCTCGTTGCTAGGGTAGACAGGACCATCATATCCTTTTTCTGTAGAATGCTATGATTTTCATACCAGTTGAAGATCATCAAAGTGATGTTCAATTATTTCTCTCTTGCAACTCTTGACGTGAAAATTGTGGATAAACATTTTTTTTCTACGGCTGTAACACAAGATTACTGTTTTTTTACCGTGTTCGATACATCAATGAGGTACTTTGTATGTCATCAATTTTATTGCCGTATCTGATATCACAATAATGACTCCATTGTGTTATTATTTAGAAAAAAAACTCATCGCCCATGAAATGTCAAATTTCAAGCCATGACATCTTTGTCTAATAGATGAGCATTACTTGACAGGAAATCAGATGGCTACATGAGGAAGAAATCGAAAATGCCACTGTTATCTATTATAGCCGTAGAAAAATTATAGTGTATAACTTGCACGGAAAGCTAATTTCCTACTCGAATGATAGGAGCATGCGCCTATGGCTCATGCTGCAAACTCCATTCTCGTAGGAAATCACTATATATACTATTTTCAACACTTTGTAGCTTGAATTTGGGTGCCGCATCGGGAAATTTTTACTGAGCAAACCCAACATATTTTGTAGTGTTCTACCCATGGACGTTATTCGTCCATGGTTCTACCTAACCTAGCAACGGGACACTTCTTCAAAACACCCTGTATACCACAAGGACTTTTTATATACATATCAAAAATATATCATTTCTGTTATGTATCTAATGAATGATAACACGACGAATAGTGCATCGACAAGACTTTATTAGATTATTAAAAACTCATGATCAGATCAAACTGTTACTACAACCACGTGACATGTATTGTTTCACAACAGATGCTGCCAACCTTCGACTGGTGGGCGTGGCATAGCCAACTTAACAATACTATATGATCCAATAGTTAGCAACTTATGTTTAAACTTGAAGTAACATTCACTACAATTTCATAGTCGCATGTGTAAAATATGACAATAGGTATATGATTTTTCCTTTTCAGTTATGGTTTATTAGGAGCCAGTGGATGCGGGAAGACCACTCTTCTGAGTTGCATAGTAGGACGCAAAAACATTGATGGGGGGGAAATTTGGGTTTTGGGTGGAAAACCCGGTGAACCAGGCAGTGGTGTACCTGGACCCAGAGTTGGCTACATGCCACAGGTATTTTTATTATTTTTTCAATGTTTCATAAATTATTCATGGAGATGAATTAATACTATACCCTACATATTATGTATATAGGTTTACAGGGTGTTTCTGAAATTAATGCGATAAATGTAGTGGGATGCTGTTTATGAGACCTGGCACATTACGAAATATTCAGCAAAGATTCATAAAGTACTAAAATAGTGCAGATGCATTCGCAGTTTTCCAGAAATACCTATTGCAGAAAAAAATTGGAATGTTGCTGCAATATGTCATTAATATTAATGACGTCCATCGACAAATATCACATGAGGTTATTCCTTGAAGGTTCTTGGATGACTCATGCAATATTGTACATGCACTCTCTAAGAAACGTTGCAGCGATATTGAAAAGGTACTGAAATGACAAAGGCAAAATAAGGAACCAAAATGTCCTTCATGAGATTGAATACAGGTCACTTTGAAAAAGTATAAAGGATATGCATATAATACACTGAGCGCCCACTGCTTTTACCAATAGATTAACTCATTTAGTATATTTTGGCACATTGAAGACCTCATTAGTATTTCAATATCTCCATACCTACAGTATCTCAGATATCAATTGAATATTGCATTTTATTTTTGTGATATTTTTTGAATATATTTTCAAAATATATCTGTCAAATTTTAGGGCGGACATTCAGATATTTTCGCAATATTCTTAGACTTTGTTTTGCAATGAAACATTGATATTTCAAATCTGTCTAAACCATATTTCTGCAATATTTCTGAAACAAAACTGTGCTCTATGGGACATAATGACTGCGAAGAATTCACGCTCTCATACACTATCTTTTAACTATAGTCGTGGAAATACACCAAGGCAAAATCTGTTTCTTTTCATTTATCGCAAGCTGAATGAGACAGAAAATCACTAGAAAAAGGAACGTCGGAACTTGATTCATATATTTTGATCACTGAAGTGTCACTATGTGACAATGTCAAACAATTATAGAGTACTGGTTATACATCAATAATATTCCGAATTCCTTATATCATAATGGTGAAACGATTCAATGATCAATCTAATACATTGATTCTGAGTGTGATCGCGTATTTTGTAAAACAGGATGATTTCTGCCAAGTTCAAAGAAAGAATGTTGTCAGCATTGCCGCGGAAGCTCTGAATATTTCAGAAAGGAGTATTTATCGGATCAAGAATTCGCAAACAAACTCTGATGCTGTTTATGCAGAAACAGTTTCGAAAAAGGCCGAAGAAATAAAAACAAGGTAAATTCCACAATTTCACAGGCTCTTAGAGTACATGTTACAATCAAATCGCTCCATAGGCGTTTCACTGAAGAATGGCCTGATTTTCCTTGTTCACCAAGATCCGTGAATACCTGGATTCGCAAAATTGGATTCATATTCAAGAGGAGCAACAATAGGCAGTTTCTTGTAGAACAACCATCGATTGCAGGCAAGCGTACGTTTGAGATTACCACCTCACCATTGCCAATAAAATGCCATAGAAATGGTGTGGTCAGAGGCTGAAAGGATTTATGACGCAGAAATCATCAAAACTAAATCATCCCCGGGAGATGTGATAATGTTCTGGTCAAAGGCGTTAGAAGCTGTGGGTGTGGAGCATTGGAGAAATTATGTACGACATACAGAAAAAGTGATATTTTCAGCATGGGAGACGGAGAAATACATAGGTGCTTTCAATATTGAACCTGTCCTGATAACTTTCGATTCAGATGAGAGCGATACGTCATCGGAGGAAGGATCAATGCGTTCAAATGAAAATATTTGTTTTTGAAAAATGTTACTTCCTGAATAATTCATATTAAATTAAGTTGATGTTGATGAGGAATTATTATTCGAAATATAATTCATGTTAGTTATACTACTCACTTACTTACTTTTCTTGCAGAAAGCCAAAGACAAAACATTTGTTGGAAAGAATTTCATGTTTATAATGGATACAGAGTGTTTTCCGAAACCTCTAGTTGATATGGAGAGTAATACATCTTCACATATTTTCTTTATAATTTTTTCCTCAAATACCTTTCAACATCTTATTTCACGAAGTGTCACCGACTATCAGCTGAAAAAATTCTTTCGGGTCTGCAGAATAAATTTTTAAACACTTCGGGGCAAAAAAAAATCTCCACGCCCAGTCATCCACAGATACTTTTATATCTCTATAGTTTTTTTTAGAAATGAGGGGAGAAAACTAATAAATTTGTTTGATATTTTTTTTCCCAAAGCATCAATAGCTTGTAAATATATTTGCGAAAAACAGATGATGTTGAACAGCTTGAGAAATCGTATAGTTCATTCATTCCAAAATCCGATAGGGTTGAAGTCATATTTTGGATTGCAACTAATATTTTTAATTTTTATTAACGCTTAAGACGAACGAGAGAGAATGACTTTTTTATGTTCGTAGAACATCGTCCATCCCTAGGGTGGAAAGGGAGAAAAGGTAGGTATTGGAATATCAAGAGTTATCCTTTGTTCATGGTGCAAGAGATCTCATATTCGAATTTCGTATTTTCAACATTTATTTCGGGTAGGTATTGAAAACATCTCGTCAGGTTTCCCGAACTGATTTTCCGCGACAATACTGTTCAGTGTTCAACTATAGTTATTCGTTTTTTTAGGTAAATATATATTATGAATCTTTGAGAAAAAAAAACATTGGAACTTGTAATGGTACGCACATACACTCCTATATATATCCGTTCTCGTGGACTTCGATGAACTGCCATATCCGTTACCATGATTATCATGATTGTCAAAATCTGGAATAATTAAGAATACACATGCGAATGGTAACCAGAGATTCTATAGGCTTTTGTTTTGTGACTTGGTGTATTTCCACGACTTTACTATTATTAACGTCCAGCAAGAATGATATTAACGGTGATCACCTGCTCTAATCAATGATTTACAAAATTTCTAGGCAAACCTCAGAATTCGATTCCTAAATAATTTTGTCGACAATAATTTACTTCCATTTCATATTGTTTTTTCGTCTTCTCTCACGCATTCAATTTATCAGTGGAATGTCGAAAACACCCTGTATCTAACTATTTCTCAGTCCCCTTGAGAAAGTTCGAAACAAATCAAGAATCTATGACAAAATACTCAAAATAAATAATTTTGTGAAATCACCGATCATCTAACAGAAAAATACTGATTATACCAACTCAAAAATATCGATGATTTGCATATCTGACAAAAATCTGTCGAAAATTATTCAAAAAGATGTAGTATGACGATTGGAATTTGCATTCTATTCAGAAAATCATCAGATAAGAGAATATATAATAGCTTCTGTTAAATATTGAAAAAAAAAAGATAAGAATGAACTGGTGAGAATTTACATTTTTCCTTATAGATTGAATTCTGATAAATTAATTTCTCATCAGGACAAATGAGATAGAATATTGCCCCCCATGGAAACTTATTGCACGATATCACTAATCTACAAACAACAAATGGAAGGACAATTTATTAGGATGCGCGAAGAACTTTAACGATCAACAAATATTGGCTGAGGCACCTGCGCAGTATACAAGGTGTCTCAGGTTAAACTCGTCTAACTTCGATATTCGATAGCAAAAATTGAAATATTATACACGTATTTTTTTGTTTTGTCGTGGAGAAACTTGTTTTCATTATTGAAGTTCGCATAAATGTTTGGTTTTCATTTTTTATCTCAGTTAAAACAAAACCGAGCGATTTGAACTTCGGTGAGCACTTTTCTATCGGCAATATGAAAAATCCGTATCAATAGAGAGAGGACACTGGGTGTTAATTTTTTCATATCCACTGATATGGAACCCTATACAGATTTTTTCCATTGGGACGCTAATGGTGAATTGTAGCTGATGAAAAATGATCCTTGATTTATTCACCTTGCTTTCTATATTTCTTAGTTTCCTTGTTATTCGAAATATTGATTATCTGAATCATTAATACTTTCTTGTTGATACCTTTTTGCACTAAGAACAATCTATGAACAACCTGAATTAAAAGTTGAGTTTCGCTTGCATTATTATTGGCTTGTTTCGCGTCGCTGCTGTCTACACCGCTTTGGGTATTTTCGTTCCTGAATATTGTATACGGGGATACTCTTGTTTAAAACTGAGAACACAGAACAGTCTAACATTGTCCTTTCATTTGTTGTTTATAGGTCAGTGTATGATATGCACAATACGACGGCTTACTTTTTCAGTATCACCTGTTGGCGTTACTAAAACGTGAGGTCTAGAGTGAGAAGATTAAATAGAGTGACGACAATAACAATATTGACCTCCAAATGGCTGCCGCTTTCGTGATCAAGTCACTGAATAGCTAAAAATCTGAAGCGTATCTCCCATGCAGTAATGAATTTGCGCCTTCGATGTGCCCACCTGATGTTAGGTTCAGATATTTGATATTTTCATTTCATCATCTAAATAATCTGAGACTTACGAGTCTCAAATGACGTATTCTAATAGTTAATATCCAAGGTACTGACGTATAGAGCCGTTTCATGTCTGATTGTTGGATGTTCTGTATACAAAAAGCGAAAAACAGAGACAAAGCGTTGACAAAGTGAAATAGAATGCGTAGAGCTGAATGGAGAAAACAAGACTGGTGGATGCACCTCCTTATTAGAGGTCTATCCAATCAACCACTATTGTCGTTGAGGTCAATGTCAGAGTAAAAAATCCCAAAATATTCGGAAAAATTTTGTAGAATATTTAAACAAATAGAAAACCTCAAATTATGGAAAGACTTGAGCAGACTTACGTTTTTTTACTTTCAATGTGGAACTTTACGAGCAATTCTTACATGACGGAAAAAAAGATATCGTAGGAAAAGAAGTATATTTATCAGTTCTAACAACTCTGACCTCACTTTTCAGTGGCGCGATCTGGTGGACAATAAATAAAAGTACTTCTCATTTTTTCGAACTCATTCTATAAATTGAACTTCTCTCATATAATGTGGATTTGAAATCTTTGTTTCCAGGATATTGCTCTAGTGGGAGAATTCACGGTCAAAGATGCAATATACTATTTTGGTAGAATATTTGGCATGGATGAAAGTTTGATTGCGAAAAGATATCGCAGTTTACAAACTTTACTTGAACTGCCTCCAGATGACAGGTGAGATATTCAGTCATTCTTATGAAAAACCCAATAATAAGGCCACTTTTTCGGTTCATAGAAGTTCACCAAGTACCAAATATTAATCAACTTCATATAGCTATGTTATTTCACACTCAAAAATAATATCTGGCAAAGCAGAACAATTCATTCCCCAAATTATTGAACAACCGATTCATAATGATATAGTTGTTTCACGTTTTCATTTTCAGATATTTTTAATTAAAATAAAAACATTCCGAGGTAAGAACTTATAATGAGCTCAGTTTTAAATTAAATGAAACTATCACGACTATAATAATATGTCAATTGATATAACAAGTGTATTTTTTCATTCCAACAATGTTTGTTGAATAGTTTACTAATAGTACATTATACACTTAGGGAATAAGGTGGTATTTTAAATCCCTAGACAAAAAGTTTATAGCCCTCGCGATGGTCATGCTATAATTTGTCAAGGGATTTAAAATATACTATTTTATGCACTTCAGGATAGGTAAAACGTTCAAGAAAAAATAACGAAAAAAAATTCAAATGCTACTAAACGGTAGGTACTCCATTTCTAGAACATCATCGAGGGGACTGATTGTTACCATATCAACGACCTCAGTAACTCTGGATCACCAGATCATGATTTTCATCGGCAACTGAAAATCTTGGTGTGCTATGACAAGTAACTAAGTAGAACATAAATAAATAAATATTAGTCAAATACGCCACACCGATTGAAAGACGGAACAAATCGAAAAGGCAGGTCAAGAAGCTGAAGGCCAATTATTACCAAGAAAATGTGGGGAACAATATAAAAAACAGTTATCTGGGTTTATCAAATGGTGCAAAGAACGAAACGTAGAAAAATGTACAGAAGAAAAGATACTGCTAGCATATTTCTTCGAAAAGTCAAAAAAGCTTAAAGCATCGTCATTGTGGAGCGTATATTCGATGATAAAAGCCACAATTGCAACAGACATTGTGAAAATACATTTCTGAATTCAGCTTTTATTGCACAGAAATTCACTTCAATTCCCTTGGGATTTCAAGTACCACTTTTTTCCCCGAAAATAGGGAATAAAGGTACCCTTTAAATCCATGAAGTGCATAAAAATTATATGCTTAGGTGTGCCCCGTGACCTTCCTAAATACAATATGAATGACCTAGCTATAATTCACATAATCCGTAACATATCCTTACGTCATCCGTAGGCCAAAAACATTATTTTCGTTATTTTACCAAATTGTTGGGAACGAAGCATTGTCTATTTTTCACTAATGATAGTATTATTTTCACGGAAAATATATCCAATTCATGTTCTGAACCACTAAGTTGTGAGAAACATTTTCGAAAAGTTTCCCTGTCGCTGTCAATTTGCAAAATTGGTGCCAATAATTATACTACTTTTATAGACGGAGAACTGACAACAAAGAGTTAATTGTCCGATTAATAAATCAATATCTCCTACCTTATTGAACTACATCATTAACAACTGATCGGGATGTCTGGCAGATTTTCAGTGGTGGAGGCGACCGTGGTATGACCGTAAAGAGTTGAAAAAAGGCAATGCAACGTACGATTAATAGAGAGCTGAATTTTTGTATTCAATGGTGTAATCATACCGCCAGATAGCGTTAAAGGTGTGTGAAAAAGACACTTCATCGTCTGATAAATAGAGACTTGACCCAATTTTTTGTCCTTTGTCGTTACAATAGACCCTCAGTCACTTGAAATTATTTTCATATCTATAGGGTGTTCGAATTCCATAATACCGGAATTCCACGGAGTAATTCTAGGTGGATAGAGACAATCAGTCCAAATATCACGCGAATTTGTGGTCGTGAATTCATCCGTTGAATCCGAATGTGCTGTGGTTGAGCTGACATTCGGTATTTTCGATAACCATGCTCAATTTATATCGAACTAGAAGATTTAATGACAATCATTTCAATAAACTTACAATTCCAATTCTTCAATCAAGAAAATCAGAATCAAGTTATGTTATGAAATAAAGGGTGTTTCATTTGGAGAAAAACATTCTCACCCCCCCTCCCCCGTAGGTATATATACGAAATAAGGAAATGATGTGTGAACGGCACCATTTGGGAGACAACAGCATTTGATTCAAGAATTTGTTTGAAGTTTCCAATATCTTCATTAACTTTCGAGATATTGAGTGTGAAAGTTGAAAACGTGAAATCTATTGTTCAAAAACGTACTGTTCCAACAAATTTAATATACAGGGTGTTTGATTCACCGACGTATATCTGAAAGGGGGAATGTGTTACAAATTTCGAGATATCATAGACTTGTCGAACATTTTATCTTATTGAATCATTTTTTTTTTTTTCAAAGAGTTGAATACCTATTTCTAATATACCTTTACCTGCAGATGATAATTACCATAGCAGCGAAATATCGGCTGACAGCTATTTGATATGAAATTAGTTGACATTTTGATTTTTGAAAGTTTGGTTGCAATTACCGTAATAAACTATCGGAAGCAGCTACGATAGTGAGTTTGAAAATGTCCATTCGAAATTTCCAATGTGACAGTTAGTAGGTATAGGTATTGTGTTCAAATTTCAGTATTTGATACAAATGAGATTTAATAAAGAAGAAATTTTATTCTGCAGAGAAATATAACACGGAAAATTTGTCTCATTGATTTGTCATTCTACATGGTTGCCAAATAAATAGTGCACGCAACACGTCCAAAAACAGTTTTTTTGGACTCGCCTACGGCTCGGTCTAGAATTTGTCTATTCGTCCTAAAAACCAATATTTTCCGGACTTGTTACTTGATAGTTATTTACGTAACAAGTCCGGAAAATGATGATTTTTTGGACGAGTAGACTACATTCTAGGCCGAGCCGTAGGCGAGTCCTGGAAGTCTGCGGGTCCAAAAAAACAGTTTTTGGACGTGTTGCGTACACAATTTTTTCGGCAACCATATGTAGGATAACTATTCAATGAGAAATACTGAGATTTTAACAGAATACCTATACCTACTAACTGCTACATTTGAAATTTTGTATGAACATTTGCAACCAAACTTTCGAAAATCAAAATGTCAACTCATTTCATGTCAAATAGCTGTCAGCCGATATTTCGCTGCAATGGTAATTATCATCTGCCTTTATCAAAACCTTATCTACCAATATTTTTATAGTTACAGTGACAACAACGATGTGATACCTCCTGGAAAAATGCTACTTTCTCAATGAAAAAGCGTCCGGGAAGTGAGCTCTTTCCGGACGGTTGCCGAAAAATTACTATTGTGTAAAGTCTAACTTCGAATTTATAAGCGATGATTTCTCGAAAAGTGCAACACTTTGTATAATAGTATATGTGGTTAAATATGTTCAAAGTCACATTATCTACCACTTCCTTCCAGATGTACGTCGGTGAACCAAACACCTTGTATAGTATATTTTTTGATTGAATGTCGAGTGTAATGATAATTTTTATATGCTCTGATGCGAAAATCCTTTTTTCAAAAGATTCAAAAATGTTTATCAGATGAAATATTTTCTGGAACTGAATAATTAAATAGTTGTTTTTTTGTGTCCATACGTAAACTACTGAAACTTGAATATTCACAACCATCGCACCTGAATAAATGAAATAGCAAGAGACCAAAATAATCTGATTAAATTGATAGTAGGTACTTATATACCAGAAAACATTTTTCTGGCGTAGCCTAGCCTCCTATCTCGGGAACTTTTGTTGTTTAGGACACTAATTTTTACCTGATAACACACTAATATCTTGGGATATAATTATTCCGTATCAAGTAATTTTTTTTTACTATTGTCAGTGGTCTTTTGCATGGGCTCGTATCATTATTACCTGGCAACAAGTTTTCGAAGATCTGTATAGACTTGTTTTCAATTCGTATCCCGAAATTATATTGAAAGATTTCAACCGCAGATTGTAGGAACAAAAATATAGTAAAAAAAGTTCTTATAAACATGGGTTATCCATATATCTAGAGATCGATGAGCCCGAGATGATGGTTTCAATGAACTCTATATTCGCGATAGAAAATAACACGTTGCCCTACCTGACAGTATATCAACTCGAACACTTCTGAGTGGTTTGTTTTGATGATATGACCAATAAGCATTGACAAAAACAAATGTGAACCAATCAAAACAAAGTAAACGGGCCGCTTTGACAGCTTTCAACAACTGCATACCAAACTTTTTATACTCGATTTGAGAATCTTCCGAAATTTTGATCAGAGGCGTGGGAAATATGTGGGGCCAGGGGCACACTTTCTCCCAACTCTTTTGTTTATGCAATTTTTGGCAGTATGACGAATAAAATAAGGAAATCTCTAAATTTTTCTTAAAAATGGTTCTCATGCTTCGATAGCATTCAATATTTTCGAGATTAATCAATTTTAAAATTCTGCTGCGCATTAAAAATAGTGCTTTTTCCTTAATATTGCACCGAATTTTTCCAAAAATCATGGTTTGATGGAAAATACCCCTTCTTTAAAAAACCCTTTCTCATGTTTGATTTGAATTGATGGTGCAATAAAAATAATATATTGAGGAATAATATGATAGGTACCCAATTAAGAAAAAGTACTACTTATATTTATTATGCAACAGACTTTTAAAACCGACTTATCTCGGTAAAGGTGAGTGTTATCGAAACTAAACAAGAGTAGTACCACGTATGAGTAAAAATTGAGAAATTGTCATATTTCTTGGTGGAACTGCCAAAAATCGCATAAAAAGGGAACGGGAGCATCCCACGATTCCTAATTCCCACGATGCCCAATTCCTACGATGCCCACCTTCATGTCGACGATTACGAAGATTGCCAAGATGAAAATTCAGAAAACACAAGAGGTCCACCATGCCCACTTTTCATAGATTCCCACGATGCCCAATTCCCACCATACCCACCTATCTTGGATCCCCACCATGCTCACTATTCATACATTCTCACAATGCTCAAATCCTACAATGCCCAATTTCCACCATCCCCACCTTCCTTGGATTCCCACTATGCCCACCTTCCTTGGATTTCCACCATGTCCACTTTTGATTCATCTATAAAAAGTGGGCGTGGTGTAAATCTTGTGTTTTCTGAATTTTTATCATGACCTGGCAGCGTTGCGCTCTTCGGCAATTTTCGTAATCGTCGACATGAAGGTGGGCATGGTGGGAATTGGGCATCGTGGGAATCGGGCATCGCGCTACGCACCCAAAGAAGTTTGGGGAAAAATTGTAACTAGCCCAACCTATTCCCAAACCCCTTATATTTCCTAATATCCTCAAATTGGGCAGAAAAAGTTAGGTACAAGTCACAATTTGATTATTTAATCACAGGGAGTTTCGAAAATATAAAAAAGACACTATCGCGGGCTCTCCTTCAGAATCTGTATCCGAAATCTTTCTATGTAATTTCGGGACACCCTTTATACAAAATGAAACTACTTTTTCAGGTTTTTAAAGAACTGCAGCGGTGGACAACAGCGAAGAGTATCTTTGGCTGCTTCCTTGGTGCACAAACCGGAATTGTTGATAATGGATGAACCCACCGTAGGAGTTGATCCGGTTTTGAGAGACGGGTATAATTGAATCTGAGCTGGTCAAAACTATATAGAGGGTGTCCGGAAAGGTCATGTGGTGAATGATAGGGCTAATAGAGGGAGCCCAAATAATGTTAGTGATTCATTGAAAAAAAAATATGTATCGCGCTTCGTTATGGAGTTATTGACCTTGAAAGTTAAAAATAAAAAAAATAATTTCATGAATAACTTTCAAACGGTCGCCATGGTATCAATGATATTCTGGCAGGTAAATGAACTCATACTTATGCACCTTTCCATACGTGAACGGCTTTTCAGTGATTATATTTTATACAGGATGGAACGATTTTTTTCCGTTTAATGAAAGCACTTTTGACAGGGATGACAAATTTGACATTTTGCTTTCGCCGTTTGATCCCTTCATCTTTTTTCAACAAAAATGGTATACTTCATTCCAATAGATATCTTGTACCGATCTGCAGAAAATAGCATTAAAAAGCATACATCCCAACCGTTTCAAAGGTGATGAAACTTAATTTATTATCAATGTATGGATAGGACTGATTGACAACTGCTCAATTATGGATCTCAAATCATTAATGGAACTTTGAATTTTAATGAATATTCGACATTTTTGCAAGAACATCCAGATCCGTTGTCAGAAGAGGTTATTTCGAATATTCGAGGTGATATGTGGCTTTACATCACATGTTCCCATGGTCCTTTACCATGGCCACTTCGGTCACCTGATCTTAATCTACTTGATTTATTTCTTCGGCTTCCTTAAATGTCTTGTCTATAAAACACCTTTAAATATTCGGGATGAGCTTTTGAATCGAGTTCTCACATTTGCACAGGCCGTAAGAAATTATATCATCACATATGTTATCTCGAGTACAACGCAGATGTTAAGACAACTTTAGAAAATGCGTTGAAGTTCAAAATGCACATCAAAAACCATTTTCGATAATCTTTTTGTCTCCACTGATGTCATTAAATAGGTAAATGGAGCTTTTATTTCAAAATGCGATTTTCTTTAGTACGATACAAGATATCGATTGAAATAAAGTATACCATTTTTGTAGATAAAAGATGAAGGAATCAAACGGTGGAAGCAAAATGTAAAATTTGTCACATGTGTCAAAAATACCTTCACTAAACGGAAAAAATCCGTCCCATCCTGTATAAAAAATATTTTGAGAGGCCGTTTACGTATAGAAAGGAGCATACATTAGTATGAGTTTATTTACCTGTCCAAATATCATTGATACCATGACAACCGTTTGAAAGTTATACATGAAATTCATTTTTTTTCTAACTTTCAAGGTCAATAACTCCGTAACAAAATGCGATAGACATTTGTTCTACTCTACTCTATCAGCCCTATCATTTACGACATGACCTTTCCGGACACCCTGTATGAACGATTCACCTCCTAATTTTGATTAATATTTAATCATAATCCGTTACGACCAAAGCAAATCGGTATAGGATAATTTCATCGAAGTTGTACATCTTGAAAATGATAAATGGGTAGGGATCGATCAGCAATTATCAGTTGAAATGTTTAACATCCAGTCGCATATGATCTATCATATGTTGGTGATTTATGAGTGATTAACGACAATAGTAGAATAATTACAATTATATCAGAATCAATCATTTCATCAATAAAGAAAAACCATCCCTCTAAGAAAGTTGCAGAAATTAACATATTTCTCTAAATGTAGACATGTTGGTATAGTTATGTACAAAATACCCCCGAAAGATGATAGCTTCCATGAAGTTAGCTGTACCTCTGCCATTTTTATCCGTTTGAAAAAATGAAAATATCGAAATTAATGGTTTATTTTCAACTTCAACTTTTCTTGTCTTTTTATAGTTTTTATTGGGCTCTATCGCCTATTCAATTTGAACGATATCGACAATCTAAAAGACCCTGTATAAGTAGGTAGCTATTTTGAAATTGCCAAAAATGTGGAGGAGTAAGCCCAAGAAATCTTTTGAAAGAAATGAAAGCGAATGAAACATTGTATTTGAGGAGACTGAAATAATCCGGAGATACGTTTCTAGAGTTTTGACCAGTTTCAGTTGATTATATACTAACCATCATTGTCTTTCAGCATATGGAATCACTTAGTTGATATTACGAGGAAAGAAAATACGTCTGTGATAATTACTACGCATTACATTGAGGAATGTCGTCAAGCAAATAAGGTGAGATATTGTAATATTTGTTTCTCATGGCTTCGCCGTTCTATAGACAAACGAGTTTTGGTAAAGATTTGTTTGACATATCTCAAGGTTGACGACGAAGGGATGTGCTGACTGGGCTTGTCGAGTTCGTCTGACCGGTTTTGCTATAGTGATAAAATGATGGCCAGAGTTTTCTGAAGAACATTTCCTGTAGAATTATCTACAGGGTGTTCCTTTAAGACATGCTGATATTCAAGGGAGTGAATCTATGACTTATTTTGAGAAAAAACTTCCACTAACGTATATCCTCAAAGTCTCAACTTTTGAGATACAGGGTGATGAAGTTTTGAAAAAAAAAAAACAGTTTTTCAATAATTTCTGGGATAATATTGTAGACATCTTTATGAAATTTGGTGTATATCTTCTATGCATCAAGGTGCATTTTTTATTTATACAAATTTTCATTTTCTCTACCAGTGGCGCCGTTAGGGGGTTATGATTGTTTATATTCTACTTAAAAGTGAGCAACGAACAAATATTTCCAAATTTCATACAATGCTATGAAAAGACATAATTTTGTACAAAAAAAATCCATTTGTTGATATCCGACAGGACGCTCCATTTCAGAAAGAAAACGGAAAAACGAGATCAGACTTCAAATTTTGATTTGAATGCTAAACCATTCAGGACATCCATTACTGGATAAACCCAGTAGGTATGTAAAATCTTGAAGTTTTCGCACCGTTTCAGTCCCATAGCAGAATGAATTTTGCCATCAGAAAAAGTTATACAGGGTGGACAAAAAAAGAATCTGTATTTTTTCAACTGTGATACCCTGTATCTCGAAAGTTAGGACTTTAACCTTCATATGAAGCTTTGTTCTTGGAATGGGTCTAAGAATCGGTTGCCGGAAATATTATCGAAATCAATAAATCGAACTTCATTTATCGAACGTTATTTGATCGAAAATCTATTGATCGAAATATCATTTGATCAAAATATCAAATGATCGAATATTATCATTTGTATAGATTCCAGGAATTCATTGATATGAAGGATTTTATTGTGAGGAGCTGTGAGAAGTATAACCTCAAGTAAAACTATAGTGAACAACATATTATGTCAGAAATTATGTCACAATCGGTTACAGAGACAAGACATCGATTATACAAGGTTGCGGTTTTTGAAAAATTCCGGTAATAAATAGTCAATGTGGAAAAGAAAATGACATAATATGAGATGGCTATTTTTATGTGTTACACCGCTTGCCTAATAGTTCAGATATTCCGTGTAATTACGGAAAGAAGGTTCATTTAGGCCGAGTCAGGTTAGGTTGTTTAGGAACAGTAGTCTTTTTTGTTCTCCCAAGTGATTTTCCTAAAAATATACTTTCTAAGAAGACGGTGCATTTATGCCGAGTCAGTTAGATTGCTTAAGAAAATTAGTCTCTTTTTTATGCTTATGCAGAAAAGAATATTTTCCTTCCTCAACTATCTGGAGAACAGTGCAACTGCTGGAAACTCTGCTTGCCTGCAATACGTGAAATGACTAGGCATTTTAGGGAATGGCGGATTTCATCAAATATGTTTCTTTAATGTTATAAGTTCGATCAAAATGTTATTCGATCAAATGATATTTCGATAAATTGATTTTAGATCATTTGATTTTTCGATCAAATAATATTCGATCTAATGATTTCGATCATATTTCCGGCAACCCAAAGAATTGCCCCCTTGAATATCAGCATGTCATTAAGGAACACCCTGTATATAGAAAAGTGATAAGCCGTCGACTTTTCTATGGTGTTCCAATGATGTCAAAGTGATTGTGGCATCACCCACTAGGCGAATAGCTCTTCTCTGGATGGAATCCAAGAGTATCAGCAGATGTTTGGGTGCTGAGTCCCATATGTGGGAACAGTATTCTAGAACAAAACTACCAGAACTGAGCCATACCCACAACTTTTCAGTCGGCTAAAACAAATCTCGAATTTTTCGAATTTCTGGAGGTTCATAAGTTAGAGACGTAGGCTGAAACTCATCTGGTGTATAGGCAACATTAGAAAAGAGATGCTGCATAACGATATAAGAAGATATTCACAAATAACTTAATCTTTCTCATTTTGAAAATAACACAGCTTTTTGCACAGATCGATTGTTTTACCGAGACAAAAAGTATTGAAAAGATTAAAAACGATATGTATATGTATTTTTTCCCAGATTGGATTGATGAGAGAAGGCAGACTTCTAGCAGAAGAATCCCCAGGCAGATTACTGACAATTTTCAACACCACCACATTAGAAGAGGTCTTTCTAATTCTGAGTAGAAGACAAGAAGAAGGAAGACTGACTGATGTGGCATCTCTTCCAATAGCCGACGATCAAAATAACACCATTGTGGATGCAACTCATTTAGCTGGATCCACAGCAAGTGTGGCGACTGTTTCAACCTTCGAAATTTCAACCGGATCAACAGACGTAAGTTTTATACAGGCTGTAACAAATTAGTCTCTCATCATTTGGATATCTTGAACCGTGGGACATACGAAGTCGGTTGAATTGATGCAATATTGGGGATTTTTTGGAACATGAATAAAATAACAATACATTTCGAATATTTCGACTACTTTCTTGGGGATATGGCTTGACCGAATTTGAAGAAAAATAGATCGTTGTGTAGAGATTTGTAATACTTCTCTAACGAGGTGTAACTTGACCCCTTGTACAATTTAAAGATATTGAAGGGGTTGATCTGTGGGGTAGAAGGTGGACTGGTGGTTGAAAATTTTTGTCATGGAGATATAGATCTTATTCAATCATAGATTTCCTCACAAGCAGCATTTTTGAATGAGATATTCAGTTTTATTCTTCTCTTGAAAGTTAACGAAACACTCGGTTTGGTAAGTGCTAGAACAGTGCCGTGTAGCTAACATTGAGAGATTAATCCGACATCTCCAGAAATACCAACGAACTTTCTTGTAATAGTATGTTCTCGAATCGAAATTAGTTTAACGATTGCTTATTATTTTTCTAATTCTTTTCAAGGTGCTGACTACCAAACCTAAAGAAAACCGATGTAAAACTAAAAATTCCATGAGTACTAATCGAATGAAGGCTTTGCTGGACAAAAATTGGAAACAGTTTTATCGAAACATTACGTAAGTATATAAATGAAGGGTTCGAGTGTAAAACCTGGTCATCTTCAAAAATACACTTCACAGATATTCAATATTGAAACTTTGCAAAAATGCTGTTACAAATGTTTATGTTACTCTCTTCCTGAAACATAGTTCAATGCTATGATTCATAATGAACAAATCAAGCATAGAATCAGGCTCCTAGTATTTTTTTCTCATAGAAATAATAAGTTTGATGGAAAATAACATGCACTTACCATATTTTACCTACAAATTTTTATGGGGACGCTGCAACAATATTGTATCTGCATCAAAATAAAAACATTGGAACGATCTGAACTCAAAACTTTATTACTATTATTACATGTCATTCAAAACTTCATTGTAAACTATCGTAAAAGTTATGATACGCTGATGCGGGTATCCATTCCATGCATGACATGCTCTAGTTTAGAAGCTTATACTCTAAGGGGCGCATCATATTTTGGTGGCAAATTTTCTTGAAATGGAAGTTCAAACGTTGTTGGTCTTCCTCTTTTCTTAAGAGATACTGGAGGAAGGACTCTGTTATAGCTGTCAGTTCCATTCAATGTTGAAAGATCTTCACCAGAGAATTCTAGTTTCACAGCAATTTTAATACTGACAGTGGCTCACTTGGGCTGGTGGAAATGTTCACGTAATGCAGATACTTCGAGAAAATCTGATTGAAGCATTCTGTATTCATTAAATGGCCGTTTCTTTTGCGCCTTTTCAACACTTGTTCTTGACCATTTGGATCATAGATAAACTGACAATGGGCTCGTACATATTTTTCTACTACTGCAAAATCCCTGTCTGAAGGTAACATGTTATGTCCTACTTGAGGAAAAATGTGAACAATATGTTCAGAGTAACATAAAGCTAATAGTCTCAACTAAACCCCAATCATTGTCGAATTCTTGTTTTGACCTCTACAGTTGTCTGATATTGCAATACATTTTTTTCGTCTAATGTTATTGGTTTCAAAATGCTTCATCAAACAACTCGCAGTACAGGACTCAAACAATGTATACTGAAATTATAAAAATTATATCAATATTCCCTTTATAAAACGTAGGGCCTGTGGAAAGTTTTGGGGTTGGCAATGCTTGTTGCAAATCGAATGTAATGGCGTACGTGTCACGTGTCAAGAATATTTTCTGCTTCTATTTTTGTATTCCTTATCGCATCTTGACCAGCTTTCGATTTTCTTTGGTGCAATTCCAGTTCTACAGTTAACTGTTGCAATCTGGCGTCATCAATTTTCTCTTTTGCCTCTTTGGTTGAAACATTCATAGCATTACACACAATCTGTTTTTAGAGATTTGAATTTGATGTTATATTCTTCTGTGAATATGCGCCTGAATTTATCGCGGGAAACTGGATCTTTGTCTTTGTTCACACTCAGATTTGTATGCATCATAGCAGGAGCCAACTGTATATTCCATTGTCATAAACAAACGTCCATATGGTTGTCGTTTCTGGAATAATGGCTTTCGTACTTTGGCAGACGATCAAAAAAAGATCGCACAAAATCAAGCTACGCTTCATTGTATTTTTTATGGTTTCCCTCTTGCAAATTTTAGTTTTTTCAACAGATTAAATTTCTGAGTATTCAATAGTATAATTCCGCCTAGAAGAAGCATTCTTATCCTTCTTCGTTCTACGGTTTACTTTACTCAGTTTCATGCATCCAAACAGATAGGCATTCCCAGAAATTTTGAAAAATTTGTTGTTGATAAGGGCATTATTCAAGATTTCGAAGCACTTGTTTTTGCAGTTATAGTTAGGTCGTATACTTTTCTCGATAATCTTTTCTTTACCTCTGTAGGTTATGTATGCTCTACCACTAGTTCATAATTCCTGATGCTTTTTTTGATTACTCTGTCCTCTCTTCATTTTTCTTTGGTTCACGAACAAGCTCAGTCTCAGCCTCATCCTCAGTTCTCTCCTATCATAAGAATCATCGTGCTTTTATGTGAAATATTACGAAATTACGTAAAATATGGTGTCTGCTGTAGATACCATGCTTTTCGTAGCTATAGGGCATTCAAAATAAACGTAAAACATGGTAACTGCTGCACTTACCATATTTTATTTTCCAGTACATAATATAAGTTATAGGATCTTTTTACCTGGAAATCACTAATGTCTTCTTCTGGTGAGTAGTCTGATCCTTCATCAGTTGCATAAGGATCAGTTTCCGAATCAGAAGACGTGTCATAAACTTCTGCCCTTGGCACTCATTACAGCTGATAGTCTGGTAGCCATCTTGAGTACATACCAGATTTTATGGTTTATCGAAATGCACATAACAGGTTTGACCTAAGTGATATTGCGCCATCTCTTGAATATTAATTTAATTTCGCAACAGTATCCGCACCATAACTGCATGAAATAACTCTATTTTGAGAATTTTGTCACATACCAGGTTTTACACCCGAACTCTTCAAATATACAATATCTGATATCCGTCAATAAAAAGAGGGGCATGAATTTTGAGATAATAATCTTTGACCAATAACATTATCAATATCATCTGTATTAAATCTGAATTATCTTTTTTAGGGGTGTTGTATTCTTATTGACATTTCCAATTATCCAGACCAGTATTTTCATGAGCACAGTAGGTGGAAATATAAGAGACATAAAATTGGGCATTGTGAATGACGAATCGATGACCACTGCTTGCCCGAATTTCTCACCAAATGGCACTGCTGTTCCATACGACTTCAGTTCATGTCATTTTTATAACATGAGCTGTCGATTTTTGACTTACCTCGATCACCCAATGATACATAAGGTATGAATATTGGTCCTTCATCTGTTGTACTGCATAGTGAAATTGTCACCTCAATAATATTTTCAGGTGATCTCACTGTGTGAATAAAATATTTGATCATTCGAAATTGTATACAGACATTTTATCAGAAAACATTGACTATCAATTCGAGCTAGTCATAAAATATTATGTAAAGTGATTAATATAAAATAATCTATGAGAATGATTACAGAGTTCAGTGACGAACCAACCGGTTGAACCGGAAGTGACATTGACTTTTTTTTCAAATGGAACACCCTGCAAATTACATTTTTTCATTCTCCCTGAAAAGCTGATTTCATCAATACATTACACTTGGGGTCTAGCGGGAATGATACAGAGATATGGGGTGTTCAAAATCGAGATTTTTCAACTTTATAGGATTTTTTTTGTGTCGAAACTATTCATTAACGGTCAAAACGGCTTTCATGTCCCTATCTCAACTTTTGATTTACTATCTACTGACATTTGATTGGAGAAGATACAGGGTGGTCAGAATTCTCAATTGTGAACCATCCTATATTTGTTTCAATTAAATGTCAGTAGATCGTTATTCAAAAGTTGAGATATGGACGTGTAAGCCGTTTTGACCAATAATGAATAGTTTCGACACAAAAAAGCTCGATTTCAAAGACCCTATATCATTCCCGCGTGACCGCAAGTGTGAAATATATTGATGAAATCAGCTCTTCAGAAAGAATCTAAAAATGCAATAATATGTAGGGTGTTCAATTGAAAAAAATGTCACATCACGCAATGGCTGTTCGCAAAATTTCAGATTGATGTCTGTTCAAGTTCTCTATAAGCATCTACTGAATTGGTTAGATGAATGACCCTGTATATTTGTATAGCTGATATTGACAGTTTATTTTGTAGGATACAAAACCGGTAGAATCGATATGTTTTAATGAAGAACACACTAATAAAATAATGCTGATCAAGATCGGGGTTATGAAAAACGTATTCGTGTCCTGTGATCTTTGTAATTATTATTCTAGAAAATCACGAAGCCGTCCCAAGGCTATAAACAAACGAATTTGTATTGGAAGCATGGGGTTTATCGAATTTATTATTTTCATTTCGATCGATATTACTAGAAAATCTTTTGAAATAATGCTTCTTCAAAGGAATTTCAATTCCTAGAATACTCAATTTACACCGATAACCTATAAATTGTGACTAAACTTCACACGTCATCTTTTGACATTTTTTTAGCGCCACGTGATTCTCTCGAAAAACATTGATAGTCGGTCACCTCGACTTTTAATTTTATTCCGGACTGTTGATAGACTGCCTGCCCGTGAATTAACTAGGTACCTACTTTCATTGTTCACAATCAAAATCGATATTGATAGTGTAAACTCGTCTGGCTTATTCTGGGCCAATGAAAAACGAAGTTGAATAATCTCTCACTATCTCACTACAGGCTATATTCTTAAGTGGAATGTACTTTAAAACCTGAAACCTGAAGTTTGAAGGAATAATTTACTTTAAATGCTTTGGATGTTGAAAATTAGATATGATTTGTAATGTGTAGGTAATAAAATATTTCCGGCAATACTAACTCCTGAAAATTTATTTCCAATATGGGGTTACATTCATAATATCGCAATTAGACTGGGAGGTGAATTCTTACGTTTCGTTTTTCATGAGGTTTTTGACATTTACAAACCTCTCAGAAGACTACGGTTGGTGGTAGTTCACTAAGTAGGATCAATACTTTCAAATATTGAAATTCTTCTCTGAAACTGGCCTCTTGAGTATTCACAACTGCTGCATTCAAGTACAAATTATTTGGTAAATTACTTCGTTTTTTTTTATGAGTCGAAATTCCGTATTCAAGGTTCCTTACGATACCGTCGAAGAGGCTACAGAAGCAGTAACTCACGGTCATATAGTGGGTGTTCTATACATGTCCGAGAATTTCACGGGTTTGGCAGAGGAGAGAATAGAAAAAGGAAAAGATATAGATCCTGTAGTTTTAGACTTGAGTCAGATCAAAGTGTGGATGGACATGTCAAGTAAGTGATCAGCTTTAAGCACATATATTTATTTATAATACAAGAGAAAAAAGTTGTAGATTTTAGCTCGAGGTTGTGTAGTTTCGCGACGCGTAGCGGAGGGAGACAAAAAATATTGAGCTAAAATCCAATATTTTTTCCCTACTGGGTGAAATCACGTCCGAAAATCTGTCCACTACTAGTGGCCAGTCTATTAAATTCGTATTGGATATCCCTAATCTTAAAGGGGTTTCAGTCAGCTCTTTCAAGTGATCCAAATCACCCATTACACATTAATGAGGCTTGAAAAATGGGCTCATTGGGGCTTAGTTGACGTGCAAACGTAATCTACTTGTACCAGCATTAGACCTTTGATTAACAATGTGTGGAGAATACGCCAACATTGAACAAAGAAGGCAATATATCTCCATCACTCAGAGAGGTCAAAATCGTTACTGCAGCACTTCACAGTTGAATATATGGTGGGAATTTTGAAATTTTCTAGCTGTAATTACTCAATTTTACTGAAATAAACGAAATATTAATCGCACTAAGGGCAGAAGTAGTTGATCTCATTTTCGAAAAATTATTGCAAATTTCTCTTCACGGTATTAGTTGTTCATTGAAATCATGTTAAAGAATAAATTGATTTGAATGTAGTGAAACAGAAGCGATCAGTGTGAATGAAATCACTATAGGCGGGTTTCAAGGTCGCATCATCTGACGTTGCGATGACGTTTGGCAATGGGGAAAACATTCGCGATAGAAAATAACACGTCGCCCCATCTGACAGCAACAACTGGAACACTTCTGACGGGTTTGTTTTGATGCTATGATCAATAAGCACAAACAGAAAACAAATGTGAACCAATGAAAACAAAATAAACAGGCCGCTTTGACAGCTTTCAAGAACTTCGATAGGTGACGTAGATTGAAAGTCAGACATGTTTTCCTATTGCTAAATGTCATTGCAACAATAAAATCATCCAGAATGATATGGTATATCTGGTACAAACAATCTATAGACGTCAATCCACTACATATCTTAGCAGTCTGGTCTGCAGAAAAACTAAATTGAATCGTATAAACATAGTATCTTCCTACCTATGAGGAGATAGCAGTACACCATATTGCAGCTTGTCATTCAGTTGTTAGCTATGGTTCTAGCAGTGGAAGTAAAAATTCGAGTCAAAAAACGACATAGAACAATCATATGTATCTTTGAAATTGTCATTGCAAGCACATGCCCAACTTCCGCCATAGCGAAGAATGCAACGGGCAACTTAAGAGGCTCAGCAGCTCCAGCTCAGTAGTTTGCCCCATTAATTCTCCTCTTACATGTATAATATAGAATGTATATATCATTTTCGATTTGTATTTGGATCTCTCATACTTATTTCATACTTCTTTCAGATCGACAAATTGGCGCGACTCTCCAAGTGAAGTTGGTCGATTTGTACATCAACTTCCAGAATGATTTATTCAACGATTGCAAATTCATCCCTGGACTGGCAGATCTACCTATCGATATCGACTACTACTACGGCGACCAAGACGAACCTTACACTGTTTTTATGATACCTGGAAGCCTTATAACGTGAGCTTATGCGAGAAATGTGGATATTGGGGAAATATCATCCGAAATTTCTTTCAGGATAATGTTTTTCATGGGAGCAATGATGACGTCACAAATCATCATAATGGACAGACACGAAGGAGTTTGGGATAGATCCATAGTTGCAGGAGTAACTTCTATGGAAATCACTGTCACACATCTGATGCTGCAAGCTTCCATAGCCATTTTCCAAACGGTGGAAATGCTGATAGTCGTTTTTGCTATTTATCAACAGACGTACTCTGGGAGCATTTTGTTGATATACCTGATGGTGTATCTACAAGGAATATGCGGAATGTGTTATGGTAATTGATTTCCATAACCTCTATCGGATTCTACAACTTGAATTCCATTAATTCATGTATATTTTCAGGATTTTGGGTGTCCGTTATCAGTACGGATCATTCGATGGCTAATATTATTGTTACTGGAGCTTTCTTACCTATGATGATGTTGAGCGGTAAGTTAATATCATAAATCATTTTTCTTATCTGGTAGATACATTTACGAATTGATGTCCAATCATGTTTCAGTCATCAATATATCATCAAATCATAAGAAATTCACGAGATATTGTATTATTGTTGATCGATGTAATATAATTTGTCTTCCATTTGAACCGCTCAACTGATTTTGATGATTTTATCATTTTACACTTATTTGATTCAATAGTAATAAGGCTGTAGTAGGAATTTTTATGATTCAAATTCAAGCATATACAGTGTCATTCACAAAGTCGGCATCATATTGGAAATATCTTCAATGATAATTTATTTTGTAATTCCATTTGGGCAATAAGTTTTGCTTAAAAAAATATGAAAAATGGCCTTCTCGGTAGGAGTCAAGTGACTTTCGCTACATATGATGTAAACTTCATGGGTGACACTGTAGAGAGTGCATAATGTAAAAATAAATCCTCAACAAAAATACAAAAATCCAATAGAAGTATTCAAAATCATGCTGATGAATATATTACCACAGAGTTAACTTGTTCTGGCAGATGTAAGGTATATCTTTGAATCAATTATCTGCTTCCTGTATGTTTTTAATTTATTAGGTTATGAGTGACAAAACTCATTCCATCAAAATATTGATTGCCAATATGACACACAAATCTTCCGTTAATAAAATTGGAACTGACACCAAAAATCTCTTTAGGACGAATATCTTCAAAAGAAACCTACTATGAGAAACATTTTATTTAAACTCTTATTATTTTTATTTATTATTCTGATTTTTGGCTATATACTAACGTAATTCCATGGGATATCTTGTGTAATGTCACGGACATATAGAAAAACAGAAAGTACAGGAGAAACGCGAAAGACAAAAAAACAAATATCAATATAACGGGAGAGCAGTCAAATCCGTGCGAAAATATGAATCCGGGCTTGACAAATTCACTTTTAAGAACAGGAGAAATTACTGTCTGATGTATCACAATAAAGTTCAGTGACAGAACCTTTATGCATGTATCTACATTTATTTTTAGGAATGATGTGGCCAACTGAGGGCATGCCCTTTGCACTCAGAATGGTCGCGAAGTGTCTACCTTTTACTGTAGCCATAGAATCTCTGAGAAACGTAACGAAGAAAGGATGGTCTCTGGATAATTTCGAAGTGTACGATGGCCTTGCCATATCAGTCTTATGGGCAATATTCTTTGGATCACTCAGTTTGTATTTGGTCAAGAAAAAGAGATAATGTATGGGAAGTTTGTTTATAGTTATGTTGTTTTTAGAATCTAAATTTGTTATTACCTTATTGTGAGAATTATGTTGTGATTTTATTGATGTGAATGAATGAATTAAATCTTATCAAGCTGTTTTTTTTTATTGTCAATGTTTTGCCTGTTGCATATAAGGAACAAAAACATCAAACATGACTTTTCCATTGAAAAACCGGATTTTTTATCTCTAAAACTAATAGCAGTAAAAACTAGGATACACACTACAGATATACAAGGAGCTTATTTCGATACAACTGAAAAACTACCAACTTTTCTGACTATAGCCAGGAATGCAGGATACTACATCTCCGGTTTTGGATTTTTCCAGTACTTTTGCTTAATATTTTTTTACTGAGATAGTTCTATGGTTTCATTCAACAGAATGTTTTGAGATTCAATTGGTGACCGTATTTTCTAGTTTCTAGAAAAATGATAAGAGAAAATCAGAGATCACCTACGATTCGTAGCGGATCTAAAGAAAAGTGGGTCTCGGTGATAGCTCGGTGCAAGACATGCACGTGCGGCCTTGCCCATGTGATTCCACGACCAAGAAGTGTAGGCAAACTGAAAGTTTTTGAGGTCTGCAATATCCATTTGGGGTTAATCGGGTAATATAACGCCCCTTCAACCGAACTGAAATCGCTAATAAAGTTGAAGATATTCGAAGACTCTTATAATTTCAGAATTTAATATTTTTGTAGTATGATTACCGATCTAACTTGCCAGTTCAGACCAGACATTTGACTTTATCAGAATTGAAAATTTTTACCTCCGCCTTATTTTCATTATGTATACAACTGATTTTGATATATACAGTGTGTTACAATTTGCTCCACCCCACCCTCGTACTTTCGTATTCCTAGGACGGCTTAGGAATTTTTTTCCCAAAATATACTACTCCAAATTATCTACTTTGTCGAGCAACAAAAAATTATCAATCACAATATCTCTCAGCTCACTGCGATCACAAAAACTCCAGCAAAATTGATGAAAATGGCAATCGATTTAACCTTTGTGGTTAGTACTACCATAGATAAAACATGTTGGTAGTCAGGATTCAATCATCTGGCTACAGAGTGAGAAATTCAGGCCAAGAAAGAATAAAGAGTTGCAGAGAGATCCCACCAGAAGAACTAAGAAATGTCGTACGAAAGAGATATGAAATCTGAAAAATCTGAAGTGTTTTAGTTATTTTTCTAATTTTTTGATGTTATTATTTGACTTGTATCATTTAGATTTTTCTAAAATAAAAATTTTAGTGATTTTATTCGTTATTCATCTCACTCTGTAGACAGATGATCTAATCCTGACAACCATCATGCCTGGTATCATTGAAATTCTTAAAAGAATTATTATACATGGTGACTTGAAAAATATAATCATTCAAAAATTGTTACTTTGATAAAAAACACCCTATATGAGATATTTCAGAGGCGTATTTAAGACTCGTCCGAATCGATTGCGATAAATTTTTGTAAAAAAATGAATCCGATTGTATTTGATAATTTTTTTTGCTCGAGAAGGTAGATAATTTTGAGTAGTATATTATGAGAGAAAAAAAATCAAATCGCCCTAGGAATACGAAAGTACAGGGGTGGGGTGGACCGGTGTAACACACTGTGGTGCCGGTGTGTTACCAATCGTAAAACCTAACTTTCAATTTGAAGGCATTTGATCTTGAACATAGAACGTCGTCTGTTGCAATTTTTTTATATGAAAGCAATCTATTTCTTATATGAAATATTTCACCCCCTCGAAAAATCTTTCTATATTCGCTTCGTAAAACTACAAGGTGGCCGAGGGGCCTGGCATGATCAGAACATAAACCTAACGTGATAATCGTGACTTAATTAAGCATTGAGCAGCTCTGTATACCTACTTCCAGAAAATTACTAATTCAGCTTATGTGATGAGTACCAAATAACATGCGGAGCATGCTAATCAATCCTTCGGAATAATAAGAAAACCAGCAGACATGATCTACGAATAGGCAACGAGATAGATTATGAGTAACTTGTTTCACTCTTTTCTAATGGAACGGTTAGTTAGGTTACAATGAGAAAGAACTAAGATTCACTTGGTTCGGGGTTTCGCAATGATGAAGAAGTGATTCTGTTAATGTCAATAGATAAAGGTAAATATATTATATAGCGAGGATTTTCATTCATATCTTCCATCTATATCTATAAGGGTGTGATTCAATTAATGATTGAAAATATATGACGGTTCGTTAGCTCATTTTAAGAAGAAAAGTTCACATGAACATATCCCCTAACAGTGGCGGCTCGTGACATTAATGACAGAGGAGGCTGAATGATATGAGATTTATTATGAAAAACAAACTCTACTCACCCAAATCAATAGCTTTAATGACATTATGTTTACCAGTTAACCTGAACCTAATACTTGAAGAGATGTGTTTCTGTGATTTGCAGTGATCTATCAAATCCGCGAGGCAAATTTTTCAAATCATTATATCCTATAATCGCCCCCAACATGATGATCGAATAAGTCGAGGTCCCCTCTCCGGAATCGTATGCAAATGTCGGGAAACTGATTAAAGGGTCCGAATTCATTGTTTCGCCAAAGGACATACATTCTTAGATCATCGACTATTACACTGAAAAATTGCCACTTCCGGTTCGTATGCCGCCCTTGGGGAGTGACCTTGGCGTATGCAAACCGGCAAGCGCCCCAATTTTCGTGAGATGAGGTCATTGCACTTCATCGCCGAGCTTCTTCTTAAACAAAATTTTGAACTTTTTTCCAACCGAAAGGTGAGGTCAGGGCCGGGGAAAGGACTGGGTTGCGATTCTCCGAGGCACTCCTTCCTGTTTACTTGGACTAAGTGAGTGGGTCCCTTAAATGGCATACCGACTTAGAACATCGATAAACCCTGTGTCGCGGGCCAACAGTCTAATATCTTCGTAGTCGTTTGACATAACCCCATATCATACCCTATACTGTTGGATTCATTCTTGAATTCTCTAACTGATTGCGGAATTAAATACGGGGAGTACCATTGAAAAAATCAACTAGTACCCTGTGGATCGTTAGTTCCGAGCATCCTGTATTTTCTGATGTAGCGGAAAAAATATGAAAAATAATTTCAAATGATTTTTTGAATTTTGAAATCGGCTCAAAAATAACTGAGCTAGAGAGGGGGACATTTATGGTGAATCACCCGGTACATACATACAGGCCACAAGGAAACTGGTGAACCATCATGTGGTAATTAAATATTCTTTTGTAGTAGTCCATACTCAGTTTTCTTTCTTAATTGAATATTCTTCGAATAAATTTTGGATCACGGTAATTCTTGTCTCGATGAACCAGACATTTATAAATAAATCATGTCACGTTATTTTCTCACAAATTACCATGCAACTAAGTTTTAAGTTATCAAATTTATTCTGGAGGGTAATTCATAATGAACTGTGCATAGAATCCGTGTCTCATTTCAAACGGCCTCCCCTATATATCTCAACTATCAGTCGTGCGATCTTTACCAAATCTGTATCGGTATGAATAATCATCAATACGACCAGTTCTTCAAAGAAAAACATCAGTTTAGACAGTGCCGTGCATTTTTATTGAAAAGAATAGGGGTCAGTTTTGAACATCATAGGGATTCCCTTTCGTGCGCTTCAAGCGATAAAAAAAAATATAAGGCATTTTTTTCATAGGAAAACTGACCTCATAATATTGTTCTTCATGGTTTCAAACCCACATATGTGGATTTCCATAAGATTTCTATGAAGGGTTTCAGAAAAACAAGCACATCTAAACAGTATTTTTGCGAACGTAATAATTATTTACTCGGAAACGGTGAGTTCAACATAAAAAAGTATAACTCGTTTTTTCTTCCAAATCATGATTTTCCACCTACCGGAGCCATTGAACGTTCCAAAATTCGTATTTGATTTGAAGTTACCATTTATTCGAGACTGAAAATGTAAAAAAGGGAGCCAATCCTGTTAATTCGGAATTAGGTGATTTTTTGCATAAGGAGGTTCTAAAGCATGAGGGACAATAATATGAGGTTATATTTCCTGTAAAACAATGCCTAATATGATTTCATGAGAAATCGAACCCTTTTTAGTTCAATAAAAACGCACGGTACTGTCCAAAATGCTGTGCATCTCTGTAAAACTGATCATATTGATGGTTATTCATACCACGCCAGATTTGGTTGGAATCGCATGACTAATAACTGAGATATAGAGGGGGGCCGTTTAAAGTGAGACACGCTGTATATAATTTACTGATTATTTAACAAAGTTATCAATAAATTGTAGTGATTGAAGCGTTCCATTTGATTTCAGTTTGTGGGAAACTGAACATTCACCACCCTGTGAACCAGAAACTACGGATTTTAAAACTAATTCCGTTTTTAGTTTTTGAAGGATGATTATTGATTTCAGCACGTTCTCTGAGAATAAGCAGTTTCCATTTTTCTTATTAAAAATATGCGATATAACATTGATTCGAGAATTTGAAATAGAGCAATTTCGATCACTGAACAGGAATTATTGAACCAGAACATTAAAGCAGTGGCGTGTCATAATATTTCTTAAAAATAATAACATCTGGAAAACTACTGGATTGAACAAGGAAAACAATCTAATCACATCAAAAGTCGATACTGGGATATTAGATGCAGATTATGAATGACAGAAAATAGTGACGAATAGTAATAGAGTTAAACTCCTTCGAAAACTAACCTGACCAATTCTTATGAAAATTTTACACCTAACATTTTCGACCATTTAAAAGCTTGTATTTTGTATTGTTAGGTACCATAGCAACTAAACATTTTTCTGGGAATGTTTTCCTCCTCCTTGGAGGAAGGACTAGGAAGGAGGATGAAATTAAACTAAACATTTTTCACGTTTATAGGCAAAATGACATTTACATTCAACTTCTGAGTACGTCGAATCAATTCTTCAAGTTGATAAGGTTCTTGTGTGAAAAT